TGGATGCACACATACAAGCACACTACATTCCATCCACACTTAGTTTTCCTGATAACTCTTATGTAAGAAGAGATCACCTGTGATACTATGGCGAACAAAGTTACCTTTCATTAACCTACACCCTCTCTACCCATATTCCTGCCCAGAGGCAGGAAACACAGCATACTCTGAGCACAGGGATGTGGAGAATATTGTGTGCTTTTTCTCGGTTTTGATAATTTTTCAGTTTATTTTTAGTTTATATGTGCAGATGTACAGCCTGCTTGTGTGTCTGTATAACATGTTCATGCCTGGTGACCTGGGAGAACTCAGTGGGTAGATAAGTCAATGCAGTGCTTGCCTTGAAAACCTGTACACACACAGGTGAACACCAGGGTTCTTTGATCTGTAATCTAAGCTCTCCTAGCAATTTCCCCAGTCTGTGCATTGAAGGCTTAGTTCCCCAGCACAGGACCACTGAATGGCAGTGGACCAGCCCCTTGCTCTCACTCAGTGCTTCCCAGTGCCTCCAAGGAGGGCAGCTTCCTCCTGAAGAAGATCTCTGTACCACAGGTTGCCTCCATTTAGGCCCAAAGGAACGAGCTCAGAAAACTAGAAAATCTCAACAATCCGGAGTCTATATTAACCTTTCCTCCAAGTAAGTTGATTGTGTCAGGGATTTCTTTGAGTAACAGGAGGTTGACTAACTCACGGCCAAATGACTACATATATTATTACATACTTAACAATATCCCATGGACCACATTGTATGTTTGCACTCATCAGTGATGGGTATCTGAAGAGTTTCTAGTTGGGCTGTTCTGATGAGTCCTGCTGTATCCCTGTTGTCCCCTATTCTCTGTGGACACCACTTTCCATTCTGGAATCAATGCTCCACCTGAAGACTGCAGTTCCACTTTCTGAATAATTGCACATAGCTTCTCACAGGGCTGCACCATTTTACACTACTAGCAATGAGAGTTCTCATTTCTCCCAACTCTCCATCAGGCTGAATTTAACTCAGGATGAAGAAGTTTGGAATAAAAGCAGTTTCTGAGTGCTACAGACACAACATGGAGTGGGTACTTGAGAGTATGATGAGCCTAAGAGGTGCCCTAAGACAACCTCATCTCATACCTCAGCATAGCTGTGGGACTTCTGCTGGGCTGGGATGCAGCCATATGCCCCTCTGCAGTTCAGAATTTCTCTGAGAATAAAGGCCAGGCCAGCTCCAAGGACAAGGTTAACTGAACCAAACTTAAACTAACCAGGTAGTCCTACCTGCTGTTAACAAGCCTCATCTGCCCTGGCCTGAACTTATTTCCCTTCCCAGGAAGTTCTTATCACCAGACTCACTGATCGTACAGAGAAGTAACAACCTCTGCACAACTGAGTTGGACCACACAAAACCACATGCTGGGGGAAGAGGGTGGGACATGAAGCCTCCGGATAGATTTAAGTTGAACCATCATAGTCTCCTCACTAAACTTACCCAGACTCCTCCACAGAAGACATCGACAGCACCAGAGACTAGAAGTCACCCATTGTCATTACCCAACAACTTTTGACCAGATTACAGTGCACATTATATGAAAATAGTCTCAGGCCAGTCAGTGGAAGGTTATTTAGGTCATCCACAGCACTAAAATCCAGCACTCTATACAATTATGAGTTGGACTCTGTCCTAAGAGTGAGCTTCAAAATATCAGGTTCCATGTTGTGAAGCCAGTAGACAAAACAAACCTTTCCTGGGAAGTTACCTCTACGCTGTGAAAGAAAACAAGTTTTTTTTTTTTAATTTTTAATTTAGCTCCATTGTTTGATTTTTGTTATTTAGCATAAGATGCATTAATTCCAAAGTAATAAAAATGTTTAAAAATGAAAGGAAACCAACAAGTCAGTTCTCTTTCTGAACAAATGAACCATTTAGCAATGAAATGAGACAAAAAAGACAGGATGCTCTACTGTGAGGAGACAGGAGATCCAAAGATCTGTGGCTATCCAGCTTAGCCAGAACAGAAATTGTCAGATTCAGTGAGAGACTCGGGTTGAAGAGCATAAGGGAGAAAGCAACAGAGGACACTCTATGTCATCATCAGACCTTCCAAAACACTCACAGATGTATATACACCCTCAGACAGGCATACTCAGACAAACACCCCTCAAATCATAAGTGATCAGAACGCAATGAGGAGGACATCACACTGGATGGGGATGACATTGCCAGTTGGTTGTAGACTCCTCACACTAGCTGTTATAAGTGAGTCCCACAGTTCTGCATCTTTTTGGACTAAAAATGCCTGGGGAAGCATGCTGTGTCTCTGTAGGCTATGTTGATGCAGTTGGCTCAAATCTGTCACCCTGACCCCCACCTGTCATAAGCCCTTGCCACATCCCTGTGAGCTTCTGAATGTAAGATCCAGGATGGGAGAACTGGCCAATACCACTCACAGCAAACAGTACTGACAAGCTGTTAATTTAGTTTCTGTTACTGTGATCCAAGAGCTTGGCCAGGTAAAGAGAACACCATGGCAGTCTGGGAACAAGAGGGTAAAAGGCCATATGGCACCCAAAAAGATGTCTATGAGCCCCGGTCATTTGGCTTTTTCAGGGGGCGTTCCTCCTTGCATGCTGTGTCTGCCTCGGATCTCACATGACCCCTGCAAAGCAAATGAGACCCAGACTTTTGACCTGACTCACTCAGATCTCTGTGGCTACCATCATAGCACGGCTCCTCCAATACTGACATACAGGTGAGTGGTATGTGATTGACCTGTCTCCCTCAATGGATTGTGGTTTCCAGCAGAGCAGTAGGGTTTGCTTGCCTAAGAGGCTAACTCCCAGAAAGAATTGCGAATGATTACAGAAGTGAACTATTGGATGGGATGGGTCAGTTGGGTAATTGAATAGATGGTTACATGTGTGTATGTGTATGTGTGTGTATGGTCAGACAGGTGGCCAGGTGGGCCCTGGTGCTTCAAACTGCCTGCAGCTACCTTGTCCAGAGGTCATAGATCTTCTCATGGGACTCTTCACAGAGCCTCTTTGCCTCCGCATGCGACTCTTGTAGTAAAATCTGCTCCCCCTGTAGGTTTTTCTTGTCCTCTAGCAAGATTCTCACTTTTTCCTTCAGCTGAATCTGTTCACTCAGGTGCTGACTGTAGAGGGTGCTGAAATATCACAAGAAATGATATGCTCCGATTCCATCTGTCACTCCTGCCTCCCAATACCATGATTCCTGCAAGGTCCCATGTTCCCATCCCCAACAGCCCTGGGCTGGAGCCCTCATTAGCCATGGCAGTATCATTCAGGTGCAGACCAAAGCCAGAGAATAGCCAAATTCCAGAAAGATTTACACTACTTCTGAAGACCCTGACAGCAAAAGAGATCAATGTACCTCTGAAGACTGGATCTGCTACCTCCCGCACATACACCCATGTACTTAACTGTTCACAGTATTAGGAAAACATGAACAGGTAGAGGAAAACCATTCTCTGAGGGAGACAGAAGACCCAACAGGAATACTTTCCATCCATGTGTCCCATAGAAACCAGCTATGTAAGCTCCTGCCAAAGCCACAGAAACCATTCATGGTGCAAACTATATTTTCTGTCTAGAAGTTCCAGAAGCTGACAGGCAAAAGTTGGGAGGGGCTCTCAGACTCTTAACACTTAGGAGAACTCAGTCTAGGAGGCACATGTCCAAGAGCGATAAGGCAGGCTGCTTGCTAAGAAGTAAACAGACTAGAACCACAGCCCTTACTTTGGTTTAAAAGTGGAGAAGGAAAGAAGATGTTGTGGGATGTTTTTCTGTAGGCCGTGAATATGTATTCCTCCCATTGGTTAATAAATAAGCTGCATTGGTCTATGGCAAGGCAGGAAGGAGCTAGGCATGAAAGTCCATGAGAGTCAGAGAAGGCAGAGGTGGAGGAGATGCCAGCTGCCACCCAAGGAGCAACATGCCAGCAGCCTGGCATTCAGCAGCCATGTGGGAAAACACAGATGAATAGAATTTGGTTAATTTAAGATGATAAAGATAGCTAGCCTGAAATTTAAGCCATTGGTAATATATTTTGTAAGTAATGTGAGCTTCTGTGTGTTTATTTGGGACCATTTTGCTGCAGGAGGCAAGTGGGACAGATTCCTCCTGGCAACGGGGTCAGGCAGGACTTGAGAAACTTCAGACAACAAGAAGCAGTCCTTACCAAGTTCTGGAGTCCACCCAAGTCAGGCACTCACTGGTAGATTTTGGTCTTCTCACTCAGCTCTATGCACTTGTACAAGGCCTCACTAATTGCCTTGGGTAATTTCTTCACATCTGACATATCCTTCTTATGCTCTGTGTTCTGCATCTCATGCTCCAAATTCAGCCTGTGGTAGGGCATATACCCAGTAGCAAAGAACCCTGTGAACTTAGGCCTCAGGGACCCCATGAATTAAGGTTGTATTTTGCACTACCCTAGCCTACTGGATGTCCCACCCTGAATCCTATGTACTGGGAACTCCTGATGTGCGTTAGACTTGCTACCCTGCCCCAGTGCCAGGAAAGGCTGGGTGTCAACAAGGAGGGAGACAGGGCTATATGAGCTTCCTCAATAGGCCTGCAGTGGTAGACTGGCACTCTAAGAAGGTCCACCAGTATGGGCCTACCTGAAATCTGTGATGACATTTCCACTGGTGTGAGAACAGAAATGCTTTGTCCTTACAAGGATAACCAGAACTCATTATCAGTATTGCCATGCATGAGGCACTCCATGGGGATGGCTTTATAAACTCCCAAAAGGATTCCATTGAGGCACCAGGGTGAGCACAAAGACTGAGAACAGTGAAGCTCAAAGTGGAGCTCCCTGGTCTCAGCACTTATATCACCTGAAATCTTTGAATCAGGCAAATCCTCAGGCCTACTATCAGTCTTTAACTCAGAAGATCTGAAGGGACACACACACACACACAACACACACACACACACACACACACACACACACACACACACACACACACACACACACTTTAAGGGAGCCTCCCAGAGACAGTACCGAACACACTGT